TATTGACTGGAGGGGCGTGGTCACCTACTCGTCCAGGCTAGTCATGTGACTCTCATGTGATGTTGTTGTTTATGTTGTTTGTTTATATTATTAGGTGTTTTCTTTATATGTAAGCATAATGGTAATATTGATATATGGGACCTAATGGACAGGTAATATCTTCTTTATATAATATCAACAAATTAGCATACCGTAGATCGGGAAATTTTCATGTTAGAAATAATTGGCATGAAATTTTTTCAAGGTGTTTTATTTTCGCTGGTTGACCCATCCGCGAAATTTTTTCAACATGAAAATTTTTGGAAGCGTCATAAACCGCACAAGTGGCTACTAACTCTTGATGACGATGGACAGCTATTCAATGGAAGTTGCTCGTGACAGTACTAAAACTGACAAGGAACCTCTTGGGTGAGAGCTTCAGGCCTTCTTTGGGCTTTTAGAAGACTAAAAGAGCCTCGTGCATGCTCCGCTGTACGTTAGAATAATTCCGGTAATCTTATTATTCACTGTAGAAAATATTTTGTGTGTCAAATTTTCGCTGGTCACTTCATCCGTGAAAATATTTTAACAACAAAAATTTCCCAATCTACGGTAATACATGTACATGTACATACTAATTGGCATGTTTCAAAAAGTATAACTGCTGCTTATAGTAAAAATACACTTACATCAGTACTGCATGTTTCTAATTTACATGTACATGTATTTTGTTATTATTTGTCATTTGTAGGTCTCATGTTCCTTCACTGGCTCAAAACATTTCCTCTCTACCTCTCAGTTATATTGTACCATGGCCACTATCAAGTATGATGATATCTTTATTAGCATTTTTATACTAAATACTACGATTATCTGCTGCTTTCTCTTTCCCTCTCCCTCCCTCTCTTCTATAGATAGACAGTTAATGTTAGCAGCAGGTGATAGTGCTGGTACATTACACATATTAGAAATACCATGGAGTCTAAGTCATGCATCAAGCAATGAAGTATGTAACTGTAACTTAAACTATATTAATTGTAATTTATTATTATGTATGTGCCTTTGTGCATATGAGCTTATATTTCCGTAGTTGCTAGAAATCTTTGCAATTCATGCATATTATTATGAAAATTTGTATTAGTCCATTGTGTATCACACAGTACTACCTTGTGCTAATACATCTATCTTTTCCCTTTCATTAGTTACTAATAATGGAGTCATTCTTTGATCGAGAGGTTAAGAGGTTGGATTTTGTTAGTGAGAGAAACAGAATGAGAGAAATAGAAAAGAAAGCACTTGATGAGAAGAAAGCTTCAGCTCATGATGATGAAGAAGAAGTAAGTTCATCAAAATAAAATATTTGTAGTACTTTTATGCATCACAGATGTACTTCACAGTTTCTACCGTATACTGGGAAATTTTCGAGTAGCCAAATTTTCGCAGATTTCGCGTTTTCTTGCTCTGTCGCAAAAATTAAAATCGTGAAATTCTGAATTTACATTACTACGTGGTGGAGTTTACAAGCTATTCGCGAAAATATTATTTCGTGAAATCTTACAAATGCAAAATTCGCAAAAAAAATTTAGCAACATGAAAATATCCCACTATACGGTATTATAGATCTAGTTATTAATGTCAATTTTGTATTATAGGACAAGAAGAATGAACTTCAAAAAGATGATGAAGAAAAATATGAACTGGTGAGTGATAGGAATTTAGGAAAAGCCTGTGAGAAACTTTTTTCTTCTTTTCCTCTTCCTCCATTTGTTTGTAGGAGTATAGAGATTATCTAAAGTTGGAACAATCATTATTGATTGAACTAGGACTGAGACAACCAGCAGATGAAAACTGAGAGAGTGTGGCATAGAGTGGAGAGATCATGGTTTATAGTCTAATGAGTTTGATTTCATGATTGTTAAAATGTCCACACTAGGCAGGTTATTAGGTAATTAAGCCAGAACCATTTTCAACTAAACTTGCCTTAAAATGTGCTTCTGGCATTACATTATCTATGACATTTGCTGCAGCTATCCTGTTCAGCCCCACCCTTTAACTACCCGGTAGCGCTGTGTATGTAATTGCCACACCCTTTGTGTTTGGAAGGAAGAAGTTAAGATTGAGTGTACGTGTAGTACGTTTTTGCCCTGAGGTTCTGGACTGAGCAACTGGAGCTATGGCCACTAGTCAAACTTCTTTAGGTATGTATTTGACTAAATCCGTCTTTTAATCTTTGTTCATAGATGTTAGTGACCTAGTCAGGCCCGCCTGACTAGCTTTAACAAGGGTGGAGCTAGCTGTAATATAATGGCGGGCGCCGTGGAGCATGCTGCTGCTGTATACTGTTTCGCTTGTGGAGAAGATGTCACTGTAGCTACAAACAGATATAATATGTATGGCCCTGCTTGTGAGAAGGCCTTACCTATCTGGAAGAAACTACTGGCTCAACACTTTCAGGAAGCAAATATAGATTGCAGCATTGATGATGTTCTACTTGATGACAGTGCGGGCTGCTGCATTGGTAGAATGTGTCGCAAGTGCCCTACTAATCTAGTGAGAATGGAGAAGCTAGTAACAAGCACACAGGAAAAGTTGAAAGATGCAGCTAAAAAAATGATGGAGTCAATTGGAATGAAACACCAGAGAAAGAGATCACGAAAAGGTGCTAATGATGATGATGATGATGATGATGATGATGATGATGATGATGATAGTCTCCAACCAACATCGGCAAGTACATCACACACTGCTACACCCATTATCAGAAAACGCCGATCTGCACTTAACTTGCGCTGT